CTTTGGGGTGTTCTGGGGTCAGGGTGACCAGAGGGCTGGGCGGCACTGAGCCGGGCTGCCTGAGTGTGACCCCAGCTCCCCATGTGCTAGCTGCACAGCTTTGGCAGGTATTTCACTGCTCCTGCTCATTTTGCTCCACCATCACAGAGAAGCCCATTGTACCAGATGGTGGTCATGGCACTTCACTGAACTAAGATGGGTCAGGGCTTAGGTGAGGACCTGGTATCAACTGGTCTCAGTGACTAAAAGCCTGAGTGTGGGAGGGGCCAAGTGAGCAACCCTATTCCTAACCATAGGTATAATTCCTTTCTCTTCCCTGACAACTAGTTACCAGAGTAAAACACAAAAACAAAACAAAAAGTTTTTTCCTGCTAGTGTATATGTTAAGCGATCCCATCCTGTGCAATGACCTCTCGTGCTGTACGGCCCTTGCATCTGGTCTGTCTTTGTCCAGGGATGGAATTCCTCCTAAACAGCACTCCAGGACAGCCTGACAGCCGCTGTGCTATTTTCATCTCTGTTACAACCACAAATGCCTCTCACCAAGCAGAGGGCACAGTGACACAGTACTGAATATGCAAAGCTAAGGTCAGAAGGATGACATCCCACCAGCTCATGATGAGATTCTAACGTCAGATGGTGCCGCCCCAAAGCAGATAACATCTCAGTGACTGAGACGGCTTCTCTGTGGAATGCTGGTGTCAGTCCTCTTATTACTAAATCTTACCTGAGGGGAACCTTCTCACAGGTTCCAGAACATTCTGACTGTAGACCTGGTGATGAGAGCCAGAGATGGCCATGTCAGTCTCATACTCACCTGTATCACCTAAAACCCTGTTCAGGGCTTGGGCACTCTGAGCATATTCTACACACAACATATGGTCACACACTGCATTTACCTACAATTCCTACCATAATTTATATATTTATTTTTATGACAGAGGGAGTGTATAAGCATGAGAGAGAGAGAAAACACATGTACCGTCAATAGGATTTTGTCACACCACTATCCCTTTTTCTCAGCCCTCCAGCTCCTCAGGGTCCTGGGTACCTGCTATGTCTTCAAATCAACCTGGGGATTTGGACCCACAGCTGACCATGTGGCTTCCAGCCTTGCAGGGCAATTGGTTATAGCAGCTGGGTCCTGTGGTTTATTTGACTTAAGTCTCTCTTTACTGCATGTGATTTTTTTTTCTTTTTCTATTTCTTTTTTTTTGAGACATTTTTGCTATAGGGCACATGTGCTCACTGGAGAGACAGAAAGCAAGAAATCACCCCTCAGGAGGGATGGCCACACCATAATCTCTTCTCCTCCATTCTCCTCTCAGGATTTTGGGCATGTACACACACATGACTAGTGTGAGTGTTAAGCCACTAGATCTAGGACTCAAAATGTGGTTGACTACATGGGAATCCAGTGACACAGTCATTACACTATCTGTTGGTCCCACTACACATGAACTTTCTGAAAAGGAATGTGGATAAACCAGTCCCTTAAAACAGCAGTCCCCAACCTTTCCGGTACCAGAGACTGGTTTTATGGAAGACAAGTTTTCCACAGAGTGCAAGGGGAAGAGAGGATGGTTTATAAGAAGGGAGGATGGTTTATGCACAACCTAGATCCCTCATGCGTGCAATTCGCAATAGGGTTCATGCTCCTATGAGAATCCAATGCCAGCTGACCTGATGGGAGACAGAGATCAGACAGTAATGCGAGCGATGGGGAGTGGCTATAAATACAGATGAAACTTTGCTGACCCGTCGCTCACCTCCTGCTGTGTGGCTCAATTCCTAGCAGACATGGACAAGTACCAGTCTGTGACCCAAGGGGTAGGGACTCCTGCCCTAAGAGAAATAAGCAGAAAGTCCCCAGGGCACTTCATAACCTGGGAATATCCTCAATTCCTTCCCAGTCACCTTGAATGGGAAAGTCAACCTGAGAAGACACGAGTGTCCTGCAGACGAGAAGCAGTGGGGGCCAGGTAGGCACAGGAAACAGCCCATGCTGGCTGGCTCCTGCATGGCCAGTTCCCACCTGCACAGTGACAACAAGGAGGAGGAAGGCTGCCTGAGCCTGTGGATCCTAAGAAGGCTTTGGTTCTGGTGACCAAACCATGGGGGCAGTGAAGACAGGTGGGACAAAGCTTGGGCATCTGCACAGCAACAGGGAAGCAAAGGGAGGTGACAGCATAATGCATAGGGAGTTTACACAGAGTTCACAATCTAACTCACCGACCCCCTTACCATTCAGAAGCTGCAGCTCGAGGAAGGTGGCGGAGCACACTTTACAGGCCCACTGGCTGGGCTCTGAGTCCACGGGGGCGTTGTTTTCTGGGGTGCCTGCAGCTTCCAGAGACAAGAGAGGAGAAGACAGTGATGCTCAATGTCTCCATGAAGCCCATCCAGCAGAAGGTGGCCCACCCTCATAGGTGACGGTGATGTAAGTGCTCCCGGGCAGCTGAAACTGATGCTTGTGGATAACAGGGATTCCCTCAAATCTGCACGGGCATTGGGTGTGAGAAACTGTCCCCTTCAACCTCGTGCTCTGACACTAAATAAACAGGACTAACTAGGAGAACTAACTTAGCTTGGACAATTCTCCTGTCATTAAGAGAAGAACTCAGGATTTTCCAAAAATTAATTTTAAAAGATAGGAAATTTCAAAGAAAAAAAAAGCTAGCTGACAATCAGAATTCCTGAGTGCCATTTATTTAAATATAAATATCAACAAGACAGAAGGGTCTCAGCAAATATAACATGCACAGCCACAGGACGGTGCCATGGAGATGGTGAGAATGGAGAAAACACTTAAGACGCCATGGTGAATCACAAGTGTTCATGTCAATAAAAGCGAGCAGGTTGGCCTTATAGCACAGGGTTAGTACTGCACTGAAGAAGCCAGAGTCCAAAGCCTGGCCCAGCAGCTTGAAAAAACATGCCAGATACATGTGCAGACACCCAGGATTCTGATGCAATAGCGAATGGGAAGAACAAGAATTATAGCATAACCAGGACTAAAGGGAGTCCTTTCTTCTCTCTCTCCATTTTCCTCTCTCCGTTGTGTTTGCACTTGTACCCTCTGACATCAAATACAAATAAATGAAAGGGAACCAGCAGTTAGCGTAATGGCTATGTCACTGGACTCCCATGTAGTCGACCGCGGTTCGCGTCCTGGACCCGGTGGCTTAAAACTCACGCCGGGCGCGTGTGTGTGTGTGCCCAAGATCCCGAGAGGAGAATGGAGGAGAAGGGATTGCGGCGTGACCATCCCCCCCGGGGGGTGATTTCTCGCTTTCTGTCTCTATGTCTCTCTCTGTCTGTCTGGCAAGCGCACGCGCCCTATAGCAAAAATCTCTCCAAAAAAAAAAAATACAAATAAATGAAATAAGTAAGAGTGAGCAATAAGATGGCAAATGCAGTAAGACCATGACTACATAAAAATGCAGAGATTTTTTTTTTTAAATGAGAGATTTTTGCTATAGGGTATGTGCACTCGCCAGAGAGACAGAGACAGAGACAGAAGTGAGAAATCAGCCCCTAGGGGGGGATGACCATGCCACAGTCCTTCTCCTCCATTCTCCTCTCAGGATCTTGGGCATACATACACATGCCCGGCATGAGTTTCAAGCTGCTGTGTTCAGGACTTGAACTGCAGTTGACTATGTGGGAGTCCAGTGACGTAACCATTATGCCATCTGCTGGACCCAAGATGCAGAGATTTTTTAAAAATTATTATTTATTTAATTTTATTTATTCATTCAGTTATTTTAATTTGATGAGAGAGAGAGAGAGAGAGAGACAAAGGAAGTCACCAGGTCCAGCAGTTGAACCATGGTCAGCCATGTGGGAGCGTCCAGCACCTTAACTACCACGCCACCTGCTGGTCCCTATGCAGAGATTTTTAAAAGCAAAGAAACAGCAAAACCATCACAGAAAGCAAGTTGGTGCTGGGGGAGTGGAGACTGAGACATGGAAAGATTGTGCCCCCCGCCCCATAACTCAATGGGGATGGAGCTCACGCTACAAATACACTCATCGCAAGTCTCCAAACTGTATACTCAAAGTTGGTGAGTTTCACTGTATGTGAATGACCCGTCATCAATGCTGACTTTTAAAAAATACTAGAAAATGTCAATCAAAAATGCCAGCAGTGGTTGAGTTAGGATCATTCTGCTGCAATGTTATGAAATGGGTTTATATTTTATCTTTTTCATCAGAAAAATGCCAAAAATATCTGGTGACACTGGCTGATCCTGGGCCCTCCCATACTCCTTCCCAGGAATGCTCAAAGCGCACGCTGGGCCTTCACTCTCACGTGCCCGCAGTGCCAGGTGGTGACACTGGCTGATTCAATGTGAGCTCAAGCCCAAAGCGCGCGCTGGGCCTTCACTCTCACGTGCCCGCAGTGCCAGGTTTGCGTAAAGTCATCCTTAATGTGAGCTCAAGGAAAAACACAATTAGGAAAGTAAGCCCAGTGCCAGAAAGAACAAAACTTAACTTTTTTTTTTTTTTTTTTTGAGAGATTTTCACTGTAGGGCGCGTGCGCTCGCCAGACAGACAGAGAGAGACATAGAGACAGAAAGCGAGAAATCACCCCCCAGGGGGGATGGTCACGCCGCAATCCCTTCTCCTCCATTCTCCTCTCGGGATCTTGGGCACGCACGCACACGCGCCCGGCGTGAGTTTTAAGCCACCGGGTCCGGGACACGAACCGCGGTCGACTACGTGGGAATCCAGCGACATAGCCATTACGCTAACTGCTGGTTCCCAAAACTTAACTTTAAAAGGAGATGGGATATTCCTTCAGAACGAAACTTTTACCCCTATTTAGAGGCTGGCTCCTCTGATCTACAAGTTTACTGATCTCTAAGACAAAGATGCATGTTTGAAGCAAATGAGAAAAAAGAACAGAATTAAATTACTGGGTCTTCACAGTTCTGACGCTCACCAAGAAGGATCTGGCCATGTGCTGTATAATTTATAGCAAGTCCACTCTGGACCCGCCGGCCACCAATATGATTCCTACAGAGCACACTGGTGGCTCCTGAAGCCCTGGTCACCTGTTCTGCCCACTTACCTCTGGTAAGAGGCATGGTGATGGCCAGGAAAGCCCTCCCTCCAGACACAAAGACTGACTCAAAGTAAGTACCACCAGAAGTTTAGAAAAAGAACCACACAGTTTACCTAGGTATTCCTAGGCAGTTCTCCTGGATGACTCTACTGGATGACATTGTCTTGGGCCAGTTTCATTTAAATCTATGATTTCTTTTTTTTTCAAATTTTTCCCCTAGAGACAAAGTCTTGCTATGTTGCCCAAACTTGTGGTCCTCCTGCCTTAACCTCTTGAGTAGCTAGGATTTCAGCACATGCCACCACACCTGGCTTAATCTATTATTTCAAACTCAGTTCTGGATTAAAGGGTTTGCCAGCAAGTAAAAAGCAAACAGAACAACTATTACTCATTTCAGAGGTAGCAACCCTTCACCTTGACTAAAACTTTAACCTTGAGAGTGATGAGAGGTGTGACCTCATTCAGGACACCGCTGATGGGGGGTGAATCCCCCAGGTCAGGGTTCAATAACTCAAATGCTGGGGAGGCTGGGGGGCACGCACAGAGCCAGTTTCCACTATCAAGGAAACTAATACCAGAAACCCAGGTTCGGAAGATTATGATTACTTGGATGCTCAGAAGTGGCCTGACCCAGCAGAGGCCTCCCATGGGTGTGCCCAGTGCCTGATTTTAGCAAAGTGAAGAGGGCAGGGCTGGGAGCAGTGGGTGAGCAGCAGCAGGAAGGAGAAAGCAAGTGATTCTTCTCTTCACTACAAGCACAAAGAGCTCCCCGCAAGCAGACACTTTCTCTGTAAATATATCTGTGAAGGAAGCACACCATCCTGAAACTCAGCCCCCTTAACTATGCCAGCAAAAAGAAGGTGCTGCCAGTCATCCACACCCCAGGTAGCCTGCTGCCTTACCCACATGCCCTGCCGGCTCTAAACTCCACCACCCCTCAATCTGCCTGTGGTGAGCTCAATTGGGCCAGCCCCATAGCATAGCAATAATACACTGCTCTACAGAAACCAGGTCCTACATGGTGGCTATAGTTCAAATCCCCAGCCAGGTCAGTCTGAAACATGCCAGGCGCTCATGTGAGTGTCCAGAGTCTGAAGGACTAGAGCAAGGGGATCAGGATGTGACCAGACCCAGTGGAGGTGCTAATGTAGCATGTATACACTCACGTTTTATCTAGAGTAAAGGGGGGGAAATCCATGTCCACCTGGAACCTCTGGGACAGGGTCTTTGCAGATGTAATCAGGGTGGGATGAGGTGATGCTGAAATTGGTAGGCTGGGAGGAGGTCATAAACCCAGTAACTGCGTCCTCAGAAAGAGAGACATGGAGGAGAAGACTTGGGCAGAAACTGGAGTGATGCAGCCATAAGCCAGGAAGGCTGGCGGCACCAGAAACTGGAGAAGCTGCCATGGTGGAGGCCCATCAGGCTCCTGGATAGGACCTGTTCAGATGCTCATACTGAGAAGGAGGGTCCAAGGTAGGCCAGAGGTGGTCTAGGTCAGCACTGGGACAGATCCTCTCTCAGAGCCCCCAGGAGGAGCCAGCCCTGCCCATATACTGATCTTGGGCCTCCAGCCTCCAGAGCAGCCAGAGAACAAACGTCTATAGTGGAAGTCATCTGGTCTGTGGCAGTTTGTCAGGGACCCTCAACCAGAGGACCACACAGGAGCAGTGAGGAACAGCAGCAGCACTTCCCAGCACCCGACCATGATGAGCAAACACAGGCAGACCAGAACCTTCCTCATGAGCTGAGTCTACTTGCCAGGACTGGGTTCTATCTCATATTTATAATAAAAAGGAAACCACTGCAAGAGAGAATTTTAGAAGAGTAGGGAGAAGAGTCAAAGTCTCTTTCTCTCCCTTGAGTGCCAAATCATCGTGACAATGATAAACAACTTTTGCTCTCTGGGCAGTCTGAGGGTGAGTGGTAAAACTGTTGCTTTTGCAGGCCAGAAAGTCAGTATCAGCACTTTCAGGTGGTTTCTTCAGGTTACATGAAGAGGTCTTCCCCAAAGACCCAAACATGGGCAAGAAAGACTTAAACTCAACAGACCCATTCAGGACCAAGCAATGCCTAGGGCCCTGGGTTAAAGGGCAATCACTGTGATCAGGTAGGATTGTTGTACTGGGTGAATCACTCACACGACCTTTGAGAGGCCTTTCTTTGAGCATGTGCACACATGTATGTAGCTACACACACGCATGCACACACACCAACGTCTAGGAGGAGACTGTTGCAAGATGAACACATCAGCCCTGGAGCTAGAGTCCAGGTTCTAATCCTGATTCCATCACCTGTAGCACTGTGGCCTTGGGGAAGTTCCCTAACCTCTCTGTGCTGTTTCCTCTGTCTACACACAGGGATAAAACTCTGACCTCAGAAGACAGAGAGCACAAGCCATTTTTGAGCAGAGCTACATGTCAGCCTGTGCTGTCTGAGCAAACCCACTGCAGCAGAGCTGGACCGTGAGGCTTGTCACTGTCTGTCCACCGACGTGGAAGGAGCAAATGACAGACCTGCTGTGGGGTTGAGCATGGCCCCTCCGCCCTCCCCACCCTGGCCCACTGACCAGTTCAGGTCATTAGCGGGGTTACTCGCATACCCTGGACACTGGAGCAGGCCTGCTTCAGCATGGGCTTGTCCATCTTCTTGGCGTAAAAGGCCGCGTACCACACCCGCAGCTCAGTGCCAGCTGGAATGTCCCTGGACGTGGTGAAGTACACGTCGCTGCCGTGCTGGTAGGCCGTCAGGTTCTGGTGCTCAGCCGCCACTGCCGGCCGCACCAGCATCATCCAGTTGCAGTCGTCCTCGTTGGAGGTGTCAAAGCACACAGGGTGTCCATCCTTCTGGAACACCTGAGGGGAGAGCCAGGCCACAAGGGGCAGGGAAGCCACTGGTTATATACCAGACTGCATGTCCTCATGGGGGGTGCTGAGGAGCCCGTCTAGACAGTGCCATGGCAGAGGCCAGCAGGCTCATGGACGTGACCTGTTGAGGTGCTTGCAAGGAAGCCATGGACACAAGTCCAGATGTCATCAGGACCCCTGAGTTCTGCATCTGTTCCAAGTGGTACCAGGACCACTGAGCTCTGTACCTGGTCTAGGTAGGCACCTGAATTCTCCCCCTGGCTCTGTGACAGAGCCAGCTGGGCCAAGGGCCTCAGTCTTTCCACGCTGCTTCCTCGCTTTCGAGCAGAGCACTGCTTCATGATTAAACAGGTAGGGAGCAGGGAGAGGAACTGAAATACCTTGGGGTCCAAGTTACCACCCTAGTACAGGGGGGTGCCATCCTCTATGATTTGAGTGATCATTGCTTCTTTGCTGTAGAAGGCAAGCTCTCCCCTCGCCTAAGCTTGTCTTGGCTAAGTTTCTCTACAGATGAAGCTCTTGGAAGCAAGGGGAAGGGCAGAAGGGTTCCCAAGTGCCTAAGGACCGGTAAACGGTATGTATGGTGTGCTCCCGGCATGCAGGGGTTCAGCTCTGAGGTGTACACTAAAAATAACTCAGTACCCGACAACAGCCTTCAGAACTGAGCAACTGAGACAACCAAAGTGGGCAGAAAAGATTTCCAGATTTCCAGAGGAGCCTTGCTCCTAACTATACACCTATCATGACCACACACCCACCCTGACTGTGTACTCAACACAACTGTGCACCTACTGCAACCATGTACCCACCACGACTGTGCATCCACCCTGGCCATGCACCCACCATTACTGTGCATCTAGCCCAACCATGCGCTCAGCCCTACTGTGTTCCCACCCAGACCAGGCACTCACCCCAACCAGGCACCCACCTCGACCATATGCCCAGCCTAGCCAGGCACCCACCTCAACCATACACCACCCTGACCACACAGCCACCTCCATCACACACCTCCCTGATCATGCACCTACCTCAACCGTGCAGCTATGTCAACTGTGCACCCATCTAGACCATGTGTGCCAACAGCAGGCCGAGCAGCTGGGGCCTGTAGCCAGCTCCCTTTCTCAGGCTGTTTCAAGCCTTTTCACCTCATCCCTAAACATGGAATAGCCTTCCTCCCTTCCCTTCCCTTCCCTTCCCTTCCCTTCCCTTCCCTTCCCTTCCCTTCCCTTCCCTTCCTTCCTCTCCTTTCTCTTCATTTGTATGACTCAAGTGCCTTTCCTCCTTCTCCTTTTTGCTGAAATTTGCCTTGTAAGCTCAGTATTTCAAAGGACTGCCATAAAGCCGAGGTCGTTTACTCCACCTGCCCATCCTGAGACAAGCAGATCCCTTTCAAGGGTCTCTAAGGACAGCTGCTTCTCTCAGTAAAGGCGGCCCTGTCTAGCCCCCACTCCACGTGTGTATTTCACACACATTTCTGAGGGCCTGCTTTGTGCAGGGCACGCTGCAGCAGGGGTAGAAGAGAACAAGCACACCCCCCTGGCCTTATGGGGCACCTGGGGGCTCATTCTAAGGACTCTGGACCCTCCTTGCAATTTATTTCCATTTTAATTTTCTTATTCGCCTAAAAAGAGAAGAGCTGCCTCTCCTCAGCCTGGTGTGCTCGTTAGTGTGGTAAACCTCACTGTTGCCAGTTCTCACTGCTGCCTAAATCAAACACCTTCCTTGGAGCGCTTTGCAAAGCACCACAGGCTCTGCACAGGAGTGACAGTTGTGACGCACCCTCGCGAAGCTACAGAAATTGCCACCTCACCCACGGCTGCATCCACCAGGTCATGAGAGAACCGTTCACGTTTTGGGAATACAGCTGCTCGTGCCTTATATATACACCCTAATGTTTTGCAAAATTAAAAATCAGAAAATATTAACAACTTTGATGCCTTCATAATAGAAACGCTAGAAAAAAATGGAAAGAAACATTTTCTTGGAAATTAAGCTGAACAACAATAACCAGAGCTACTTTCAAGGCATCGTGAGTCACCAAAGCTCAGCAGTTTCCACTCCACGTTCCCACGTGAGAGGGAACAAACCTCGGGGTCCCACGCCCTGTGGGCAGCAGCCCTCACCTTCAGTGGAAATGCAGACTCCTTCTCCCACTTGGCGACCCTCCTAGACTCAAACGGACCAAACTGAGTTCGTTTGACAAGCTGAGTCACGGCGAACACTCCTTCGGCCCCATCCTCCAGTCGTCTGATCTCCAAGTTGGAAGGCAGAGATGACCTAGGGTGGAAGAAAGTGAGACTCACAAGAGGCCTCCACACTGCTGGCTAAGGACAGCCACTGTGCCAGGGGACACCTACCATGACTCTTTAAGGTTATTTGTCCAATTCTTCCATGAGAGAGAGAGAGAGAGAGAGGAAGAGGAAGAGGAAGAGGAAAAGGAAGAGGAAAAGAGAGCCCCCTCAATATAATCTTCATGCTGCAATCCACCCCCAGCCTTAGCCAGGATCACAGATGTACATACCCAGTATGCAAAGGGAACCTCAGGACCTGAACCTGGGACCCTCCCATATGGCTGCAGCTGCACGGGGCACTGTGTGACTGTGGCACCATCAGGGCTTGCCCACCATGGGTCTTCTGAAACACCACGGAAGAGGAAGAGGAAGAGGAAGAGGAAGAGGAAAAGGAAGAGGAAAAGAGAGCCCCCTCAATATAATCTTCATGCTGCAATCCACCCCCAGCCTTAGCCAGGATCACAGATGTACATACCCAGTATGCAAAGGGAACCTCAGGACCTGAACCTGGGACCCTCCCATATGGCTGCAGCTGCACGGGGCACTGTGTGACTGTGGCACCATCAGGGCTTGCCCACCATGGGTCTTCTGAAACACCACTCTCCAGGGAAGAAGATACAGGCTCTCCTGATAAGGGCCGTGGAGGATCAAGGGCAAGGCTGGGCTGACTCCCTTGGGCTGTGAAGCCAACCCAGTCTTGGCCAGCCTAGATCACCACAGGCTTAGCGAGATGCACCCAAGTACTCAATGGGAACCTACAAGCCAGAGGCTGTACTTAGAACCCTACCCCAAAGATAGCACCAGCTCACAGCCCAGGCACAAGGGCCCTTGGGACAACCGAGCTGAAAAGCCTTGGTCTCACCTTCAGAGGTGCATGGTCTGGTAAAAGGGGGCACACCTGATGACAAGGTACCACATGGAGAAAGCTATAGGAGAAACACTGAGCACTGAGAGAGAGACATCAGGCCCTACAGGTACTCCACAGTAAAGGATAGGGTTTCTGGCTAGGCCAAACTCAGCCAGTTTCACTGGGGGTGTGGCCTTGTTAACTGAATGAGAGCATCAAGAAGGGAGTGCTGGGGGGAGGAAGGTGCAAGAGAGAGCAGGACTTGGCATGAGGCAGTGCCTGGTCAGCCCAGGACACATCCAGAAACCGAGGCAGAGACCCAGGGCACCTCGTAGGGTGAGCAGGAGGCCAGGTTAAGATGGAGGAGCTATCACAGAGGCGCCCTCCATGGGACCAATGGTTTCAGTGGAATTCTCATGGGCAACAAGCAGCCTTGAAGGCATTCAGGAAAAGGGAAACTGATTCACTCTCTATGTCAGACCACAATATTAATCTCTGTGTTTTGAGTAAAATAAGTCACACTGAGAAGAAAATAAATCAATGGGATGAGGGTGGGGCTGGGAGGCTTCTAGAAATAGTACTGGCAAGAAGATGATGCTCTCTTTAGCACTGCCATGAACTGAGCCCTATCACATGTAACAAAGGATAAGGTCACAGGGTCCCTCTCGTCCTCCCTACTGCACAGAGGCATTGGAGGTTTAGGGAAGAATGCCTCGTCCAAGTTCAAATGGCTACTGTGTGGGGACCCATGAACCCAGGACCCTCACTATGGAACCTGGTGATGCAGCCCACGGGTAAGCTTGGACAGGCAGAGCACCTTCCTCACTGTCTATGGCTATTTTCACAGAAGCTGCAACAGCTTGGCCTGTTGTCTGTACTCACCACCCAGAACCCCAGTCCATGTGCCTCACAGTACACACCTCTTGACTGGCAGCCTGGGCAGGGAACAGAGGAAACCTGCCCAGCAGACCCCCACTTGGCTGTTGCTGCTCGAGTCCTAAACCAGCTTGGCCGACCTACTCTCCTTTGGCTGCCGTGCTGTGTTGGAGACAGAGTGGCTCCCAAGGACCTTGGACTAGATCAAAGAAGCTCTGAAATCCACCATGGCTCATCCAATGGCAAGGCTCCATAGTGGGTGGAACTGCCGATACCAGCCCATAGCTTCCTGCCATAATCCCCGTGCTCCTCATCCCCATCCGCACACGTAAAGGCTGTCATGTGTTCACTGTGGTTGAAATGAGGCGGTCCTCTCTGACAGGGCTGTGAAAGCAGCTGGAGGCAGGCACTCACCTGGCCCGGCTCAGCACGAAGGAGTCTTTGACCATGACCACTGGGCCCAGCTCGGGACACTCGGAGTCGTGGTACTGGCTGCAGTCCTCACACCCTGCACACGGACATCATCAGAGGATTATGAGGGTGCCACCCAGGGAAGGTGAGACCCAAAATGCTAACAAGGGAGCCAGGGCTCCGGCCTGATGGGCATGACCCAGCCATGAGAGACCACACGGGTACCTTGAAGACAAGCGGCCAGGGCGTTCACTAGAGCGAGGCCTGCGTCACGAGGCTGCCCACTACGGCCCTCGCAAACATGAAGAGGCAGACAGGACATGCTCCCTGAGGAAAAGATCCCGCTCTACGAAGTATTTCAAATCACACACAGTCCCCTCTGTGTGACAAGAACAAGATTCTCCCCAAAGCATGAGCATAAATGAAATTCACCATGTTAACCTATATTCATAAATCTGACACACCACCCTTCTTCTAAACCCTTGGATTACTTTTCTGAATCACTCCCTGCAACATGACCTAGGCCAGGAGTTCTAAGAAAGGTGATCCTATGATAAACATGTCCCTGCAGTGTCTTATTCATACAATAAACTGTGTTTCTTAAAGTGAGTAAAATCATTTTAATTTTAGAACAAACCACTTTTCTGTAGGCTAAAAACAAAATGTGCTCCTGGCTTTGCTCAGACAGCAAGCGCCATGCCAGGATGCATTCCAGGCCCGAGAGCCGGTCCCCAGCAGGCACACTGGTCACTTACAGATGAACATGATTTCTTCGCTCCCGTCTTCAGCCATCTCTGACACCTGTCAGGACACAAGAAAGCCTCATTAATGATAAGCCTTTACCAAACCAATTTTTTCTTTCTTCTTTTTATTTTTTTGGTGCCAGAGGGTACATGTGCTCTCCAGAAATAAACAGAGAGAGAAGACAAAGAAAAAGCACCCCTATGGGGCATGATCATGTCACGATCTCTCTCTCCTTTCAGGATTTTGGGCATGCACATACACACTCTTGGTGTGTTTCTTAAGCCACCAGATCTGAGACTCAAATTGCTTGGTCAATCACGTGGGATCTGGCT